CTTTGCATCACTGAGGGGGGGGGGGAAAGGATACAGCCGTACTCCTCCGGAACGAGAGCCAGTGGCAAGGATCTTCTGCACCGGGTCAAATGCCAGAGCTGTGGGCTGATAGGGAACTCCATGACGCACTGTCTGCAGAGAAATTAAAACAGAGAAAACATGAAAAAGAGTGTGCTACGTTAAGAACAAAGTACTGTAGGCAACTTCATTCATTCCCACATAATAGTGACACAGCCTACGGCCTGCCTGCAACCCCTGCTACTCTCCTGAGAAAAATACTTCAGCTTTCTGCTGCTCAATGTGCAGCCACCCGCTCCTTCCCCTCTGTTTCAAGATATATTCTGCAATATTTTATTTGTTTGGCATACACTACTGTTCAAAAGTTTGAGGTTGGTAAGATTGGTAAAATAAAGCTCAATGTTTTTGAAAGAAGCCTCTCATGCTCACCAAGGCTGCATTTATTTGATTAAAAATACAGTGGAAAAGTAATATTGTGAAATTCATTTTTTCATTATTTTTAAAATAACTGTTGTCTATTTTAGTATATTTTAAAACTAAAATTATTCCTGTGATGACAAAGCTGAATTTTCAGCAGCCATTACGCCAGTCTTTAGAGTCACATGCTCCGTCAGAAATCATTCTAATAAGCTGATTTTCTGCTCAAGAAAGAGCCTGTTTATTACAGAGCTACAGTAGTTAAATAATGCATAGAATAATATAAGATGAAAAAATATACATCATTTATTCTTCTCAAACTTTTAAGACATACTTTTCAGATTTTTATGCAAAACTGTTGATCAGTTACTCACATAATATTCAAGATGCTAATATACAAGCTGAAAGTTACCTTGTAAGGTGAGGGGGAAACCTTATGCATCCTATTTTACTCTTCAAAAATTTCAGAATTTCTTACCAAAAGCTAACTATTACCAAATTTGCTTTACCAAATTAAAAGCCTCTATTATTATTGGCTAAGTAAATATGTAAAAGTGCAAAGTTCAAATTTTATCAGTCTGGCTGCATTAACGAATTCTGGCATAGGATACATTAACAACAGTACTGAAAGCCTCCCACAGCGCATACGTGTTTCCACATTCTGTTGCACCTGTCCCCCTCATTCAAAACAATTTGTGACTTAAAAGTTACATTTTTCCAATCAGCTTCCTATGCTATAACTTTCATACTTCAGTTGCTTTCTGTCTGCAAAAAAAAAGTCTCTTCACCTGTTAATGTTTGACATTATGTTGATAACACAGCACAGGTCAAATTACTCAAGTCAGTAAAATATCAAAACAGATATGGCCTGCTACGTTGTTTACTGCACAGCAAAATCACTTGGGATTTAAACCAGGGTACCTTTCCATCACACAATCATATATCATCAAAGATGATGCCGCCATGCTGACAACACTCCACTTTCCTTTCCCATGTCTCCATGTCTTCAATCTCAGCAAAGATCTCAGTATGCCTTTCTGGCACCTCGCTGACCACTCAAGATCAACTTCATCAAAACCAAGCTCCCCTACCCCCCAGCCAACGCTCCCCCACTCAGTCTATCTTCATCTCAGCTGAAGGTCACACAGCTGTCAACGCTTGCTGTGCAAAAACGATGGTACCCCTCAAGACCAACCATCACATTCATGGTCAAAATTGAAACAACCACCTAAACCAGCCACTTCGTTTTCCACAAAACTGGCAAAATCCAAAATCTTTTTCTGCACTCCTTGTTTGTTTAGTCTCTGTTTATTTAATAACAAGATTACTAATTTCTCATTGGCCTTCCTGCATCTGCTACATGATCCCTTAAACATATTCAAAACATTGCTTCTCATCTCAATTTCAATTAAATTCAGTTTTAAAGTACTTTATTGCTCATATTGTCAAAACATCAATACACACAACCAAAGTAATACATAATCTAAAATAAAGTATAATTAAAAAATAAAACTGAAATAAGCTATCAGTAATGCCAAAAAATAAAAAAATAAAATACTTAGCAAGATTTTAAATTGATGCACGGTAGGTTAAGTGCCTTACTCAGGGGCCTGATGGTGACGGCTTGCTGCATGTGGGTCTTGAACCAGCAACCTTCTGGTTAAGAGCCCTGAGTTTTATTCTGTAAATCACACACCATTTAACCTCTACAACTTCTCACACGTTACACATTTGCACAAATCAAAGTCAAGATGCTGTTATCTGCCGTTAGCTGACATCACTGGGTTAAGTGCTTTGCTCAAGGACACAACAATGGCATGTGAACACAATAACTCTTCAGTTCATGGGTTCAGATCAGTTAATCTATTCCTGCTAATCCACCTGCAACCGGTATTAATCTCATTATCAATAAAATTACTTGTCACTGTTACTTGTCAAATTATAAAATGTTTGTCACTGATGAGTTTAATCAGTAATAACAAAGGCAAAAATGTGCATCATGATGACAATTTAAAAATTCTCAAATTTGACAAGAAAAATAACACCACAAAATATTAACAATGCCCTAACAATGTTTTTTGAAGAAGAAAAATATACAAAGAATATAAATGTTTTAGATAATGCAGTCAATAATATCAGGAATGATAATATCCCCCCTCAGAGAACCTCAGCGCTTTTGGGCCGCGCTGGACACCGAGCTCGGACCCCTCTCCTTGGACAGGGGGAGGGTGCCCCGGGCTCGGGAGTCTTGCCGAGCTCAGAGCCCTCTCCCTGGACAGCACGCCAAATACGCATAACCTTTATTTAATTACATGTAAGTGTGAACTCGTGAACTGACAGTCACCACTGATAAGCTACTACTAAATATATTGTAGAAACTTAATTTTCTGTAAAGTTGCTTTGCAACGATTTGTATCGTGAAAAGCTCTATAGAAATAAACTTGAATTGAATTGACCTGTTTGAGCTTTTGAAAGTAAATGAACACTGGTAAACAGAAGCGATTTTTTTGTGAGTTAATTAACTCAATACATATCAGATTAATCAGATATATACACATAAATGTGATTATTTGCATCTGCACAAAATGCTCAAGTGAACTAAATTACATGCTAGTCAAACTGTGCAAGTCATGTTGTTAATACGCTGTTTCCATAACAACGTAATGAACCAGAAACAATGAATAATTGCATAAATATTCATATATATATCATTACACTAATTACAGTAGTGTACTCAATGTTACTTCAGAAGATCAGGTTTTTACAACCGGACAGTTTTTCACATGTTTTTGTTAAATGTTAATATATGCTTAAATTGTATTTTGCACTCTCAACAACTAAAATTTCATTTTCAGTGATGAAACTGTAGATTTAGAAATTTCATTTTAGAGTAAAACTATAGTAAATATGAATATACAGTATATATATATATATATATATTAGTGCTGTCAAAATTTACGCGGAAACGCATGCAATTAATTTTTTCAGTTTAACACGTTAAAAATATTTAACGCAATTAAAGCAGGGGCGGAGCTAGGTTTGGCCACCCCACTCACAACTGCTGCTTCTGTCTCTTTTTTCTTGACAAGAATTGAGTTTATTTACTCGCCTTCGGTCGTAAAAAAAATTAAAAAAATTAAAAAAAATAAATGCCATTAAGCAAATATTAAAAATATACTGTCTTTATGTTGTTTTTACATTAATTTGAAGATTGTGAAATAATTGCAATATAAAAGTATATTTAAAAACTTTAATGTTAGGTGGGATTACTCATGATTAATCACGATTAATTTAAGAAAAATGTGTGATTAATTAGTTAATTTTTTAATCGACTAACAGTACTAATATATATATATATATATATATAATTTGTTCTGGTTTTTGAATCTGATTGGCTGAGAGTCTTCCAGTGGTTCAATATTCCAGTAGTATCAGCACTCTAACTGTTTCACCGTTTGTATCACTCCACTTGTTGTCGGATCGATACTGGCAGCATTTGTCTCAGTGATTGTCAATGGCAGAAGAGCGAACCTGTTATAATTAAAAAATATTATTACTGTTATTGTGTCGGAATGTAGTTTTAAGAGATTTTTAGGCAAGAATGTAGTTGATTAGACCCCAAATATGTGATTCATATATAAAGATAGGACCTATTTGACAATTTGTTTAGACGTTTTTGAAGATGTGAGCTCCAGGCCGACAGCGTCCGTTCAGCGCTCATGTACCCACCGACAACAGCTTTATCTCGGCCAGTCCTTCAGGAATTTGCCTCTGGCTCTTACGTAGATGGTGTTACACAAAGTATTATTCATTTTGGTTATATTAAATGGGCAATCTTTGGTCTTATTAATCTATTATTTGTTCCAGAGTTAATCGATTTAGCTACAGGGCAAAGTTAACTTTCATATCATTTTTTTTTTGACATACAGCCATTAAAAACACATCGAAACACATGAACCCTGAAACTTTTCCATATACCTGTATTAGCTGCTAATTTACATTTCTGCTCCACACACCTGTCCACTTGTTGCAACTGGCATCACATCAATCTCTAAATAGTAGTGCTGGGCGGTATACCGGTTCCGTTAACACCCGGTCATGCATGAAAAAAAAATACCGTCATGTACCGTGAAACCGGTATAATTTTTAAAAATACCGTGATATCAATTTTTGGTCATACTGCCCAGCACTACTAAATAGCCAACAAAACAATTAAAGTGCTTCAAAGTTCCCAAGCCTCTCACTAGCGAGTCATGTGCCATTTTACACAATGAACATTTACCTTGTTACACTTGCAGCAAACTGCCTGCAATCACAGTAATCAATTGAGCTGGTCAGGGGCCACTCTGAGTGTGTTTTATTTGGTGCACTGAACTGTACAGAAGCTGTCCAGAATGTGTGCTCTGAAATGTAAGAGCAGGTGCTGTGTCCACAGCCATCGGTGCTGGAAGCATGCAACAAGAGCCATCCACAGCCTGCGGGTCTGTGCTAGTGCTCTGGCGCTGGCGATGGCCACCACAGATGGTGCTGAAATCCATCACACATGCATCTCCAGAGCAGTGACGCAAATCGTGACACTGTCCAAAAATATTTTAGAAACAATTCTGCAGATTAGTGTTGACTAGTTCCTGATTGGAAAACTAAGAGAGAGTGTAACAAATTCAAGGAGATCATTTGACTTTGTAATTTGACAAATT